AACCTTCATGCGTGGCATCCTTTGCAATCAGCCATGCACTTTTGCCATTCACCCTGAATCCTCCAAAATCCTCCAAAACCGCATGTGGGCTTTCTTTGTTTTAAGAACTGTTTTCAGAGTTTCAGACTATTCAATTATACATATTTTTCGCATAAATTAACATTATCAGCAACAAAACAAAAAGACAACGAAAACCTCAGCAAGCATTTGCCCTTAAATTTCATCTCAAAAATGCTGCATACTTTCAACTTTGTAATTCAAAATTTTACAGAATAACAAAGACCGGTATATGAAAATTGCATCTATGGTTTGCTATATCATTTTGTTTAGAATTTTCACTGTTCCTTCTTTGGCTTGTTCACATAATGTATGGATTTAGCACAAGCTCCAATTATCAGGAAGGTTAGCAAATACTTGCCAAAAAAAAAAACATTTTACACAGTAGATTGATGTATTTGTGCATGAGTCATGAGACTGGAATGTGTTTTCTGCATGTACCAACACCATTCTATTGTACACACACCCTCAACAATGCAGACCAGACCTTTGATATGAGCTGGTTGCTGTATGCTCTAACCACAAGGGGGGGGTCCCATACATTAAAGGGGCAGGCAGATTTGATTTCAGGTTGCAGCACTGGCCACTAAGTTCTCCACTGTGATTGGTTGGTGGAAAGATATTCGTGGATACCAAGGAATGTCCAGACACTGACATCATCCGTGCAGTATAAGTGTACATGTATCAGTGTGTTTCTTGAGAGCAGTGCGGGAAAACTGCAGTTAGAATAGATGCAACACTTCTTAACCTTTAAAGTAAAAGGTCAAACAGGTTGAATCAACATAACCATCATGAAAGTTGCATTTTGGATTAATAATTGAACTTAAGTACCAGGGAGGATACCACTTTGTAGAAATTGGGTTCTGGATGGTTTATGACCACAATAGACTCATGACTATTGAGTGTTCGGAAAAAAATGTTTTGGGGGAATGACAAGTAAATGAATACCAAACCCCAACAAAAGGGGGGTAATGTCAGAGAACTGACTGAGTGCTCTTCTTGAATGTGCCCATGTTGACTACATGTCATTGTCATACCAACCACAATATCAAACAAGTTAAAGTTTAACTTGTATGCCAGACACCTCCTGGTAAAACTGTTTAATAAGTTAGACCAGATTGCTGGGAATCCAAGGATGTGGTTTCAACCACATGGAAAGTCCTTCTAAAACTAGTCAACATTATTCACCCACAATGGAAATAAGTTTTTACAACTTTCTGGCGTCGTTCCTGCTCTTTCTACAAATGGTTTTGTTTGGTATTATGGTATTGTCCATGTAGCCACAGTGTATATTTATTTTTTTATTGTTATCTACTTATTAATGCATATTTATTCTTTCTATACATGTACATGTACATGTAATTATTTCATTGTATGTGGAAAAGGCAAATTAATCAAAACAAATAAAAAATTATGCTGTTCACAGGAGGCACAATCTCTTGTATGCAAGTTGTGTCCACAAACGGAAAGGTTGTTGCAAGTTTGCTGAGCCACGTTTACATCCATTAAGAGTTTACAATTGTTATGATTATTTACACAATATGGTATGTTTGATGGATTCTAAAGTGGAAAAGTGACAACTGGGCAATTCCATGCAAAAGTGGAAATTCGATCACTGTTACTGACCTCATTATTCAAATATAATTCACAAAAAAAAGAAGTTTACCAGAAAAATATGAAATTTGAATTAGAGACTGCTGTTCTGGTTTAACTTTTTTTTCAAAAACTTCTCTGTTTAAGAACTACCCACAACAAGAGGTGGGAACAGTGGGACCAAATTTCCTCATTCCGCATGGAATTCCCTCAATTGTCAAATGAGAGATCATTTGTTACTGGTAAAGTCCTCTCCACAATGAACATGCTTCTGTCTAAAAACAGAAGTTGGGTGAAATGCCAGAAATTGAAGTGTAGGGGAAATGGGTTTTCTCAATTACATGTACATGTAGGCCTACATGTACATGTAGGCCTACATGTACATGTAACCATGGGGGAATAATATAACAAGGATGAGACAGATTACTACAATGGTACGTCAGAATTGATACACTTGTCTGTCTTTGTTCTTTTTTGTTCTCGATTCCATGAAACACAAAACCTTAAACCAGTCAGTCTGATTCATCACACCTGAATGGCGCACATTTTGTTGGCTTCCTGCACAACACACCTGAAGCATGGTCTGCCGCACATCATGAATGGGTCTTTGTATTGTACAGCCATGGGGGCTGACCTCAAGCTCAGGCAGTGTACATTACATGCATGTACATACCAGTAGCTGGCACTGCCAGCTTAACCACCATACCTGTACGTACATGTAGACCAGTGGGGGGTTTTCTAAACTCTACATGTGTTGCCACCAAAAAAGCAACAAGACAGAACTAAAATAACATGGTTTTCCCCCATACATTCCGGGCAAGTACCATCATTAACATAGACATGTACATGTATGAATTGACTTCAGTACTGTTCATCCCTTGACAGATGCATGATGTGCGCACATGTGACATGTACACGTTTAATATTTCATGTACAGTCTGTGTCTATTTGGAAAGGCAGCCTGGCATACAGGAATCATAAAAAAGGTCAAAGAATGTGTGGTAGTTAATCACTTGTGGTCCAGACATGTTTGACAGATTGTTTGACAGGTCCCAGCAAATGCAGAGAACATGGAGTAATCGTCCATAGGTTAATACACAAGTACATGTAATGTAACGTCAGTGACATTTCCGTGTGTACACAGCCTTAGACATGTTAGACCCTACGGACTAGTACACTCATGAATTTGTCTCTGCCCTCTTGATGGGAGGTTTGGTATTTTCTAACGATGTGTGAACGTGCATTCAAAACAATTTTGCGAGGCCATTTTTTTTTGGGGGGGGAGACCTCCTGTTTGGCAATACATGTACATGTGTACATACATTATTTACTTGCACTGAGCACTTTTTAAGGCACGAAGCATAACAAAATGCACACTTGCTCACAAACATCAAGGTATCAGAATATGCACTTTTTGTACAGGTACTGCAAGGGATATGAATGTGTAGATCCACAACAAAGCAGAAAAATCATGAGAAATGGCATTGATCCCACCATTTAAGACAATCCAACATAAATGTACATGTGTATGTAAGCCTACATGTACATGCAGGTACATGTACATGACCTTACAACTCAAATTACGCCTTGAATGGTAGAAAACATGTACATGTATACCACAACTATTTCAGCGGAGTCAACCAACCCCCAACAAAGGCCCTCAGAAAAACTGTCCTTTGTGATAAACACCCTTCAAGGAATAATTTTTTTGAGGTTAAATCTAAACACACATACTTCCCACTTCAGTTCCCTGAAGCTTGTCTCATTAAAAGAACATTTTAATGGTTGCATGTCCTTCCCAGGCGTTATATTCAGTAGCTCATCATATATTCTATAAAAAAAAAACCACCGTGTTTAACATCCTGGATGCTCCTTGTACTGTGCATGAGTGCAGTGCTGGTGCCAGAAGTTTTTCATTCCCTTAACCTTAGAGAAAGGACATGGCGCCGACTAACTCATGTACTGTTTTTTTTGTACAGTCAAAGGGTTTCTTGAAACACTGATCCTTCATAGCCTGTGGGGAGGGGTACAGAACGACCCATCTGGAAACTCAGAGGACTACATGTACCTTTGTCCAGACCAAAGGGAGAAAGAAAATATGTACATGTACAGTACATGTACATAACTGGACTCAGCGGGCGCATGTGTAATGTGGTCTCCAGATGTGTGAAATGGATTTATCCAACACCTCCTTTCCTGCTGCTAATTAAGCTCAGCCAGGATTGATTTCAGGGGGTTTCTATGGTATGTACCAATGTGGTTAGAATCAAAATCGACCTGTGGTTCTCATGTTAAATTTCCAAAGTAAATAGTATCATGCAAATACTACTGACAGAGGTTGCAAAGATATCTCACAAAGTTTTATTTTTAGTTAGAAATTTCAAATATCACCCGAGACACCAGGGCACACTGTTGGTAATTACACATGTACATGTACATATACAGTACATGTAGTTGCCATGCCATGGATTCTTTCTTGTACATCATGTACATGTAGTATGATTACACTGCTATACATGTACATGTACATGTACCGGTACCCGGTACTTGCATTCTGCACACAGCTCTTGACCAGCCGACAGTAAGGAAGAATGTACATGTACACGTATGTACAACACATCCACTGCATCTACGTGTAGGCTGAGTCAATTCGACTAATTCACTACTCGAATGTATTTGACTTTCAATTCGATCGAATACCCAAATATTCGGTCATACATGCACAAACCGGCAGAGTGTTGATGAACAAACGATATACAAAATCAGTTGCAATAACACACACAATTGTACACATGTACATCATAATCACTATAGCTTCTCACCTCTAATATCTCCGGCCATGATTTAGCAAGATATACATGTACATGTAGGAGACGAACAATACTTCATGCCCTGTTGGTAATATCTATTCTGTTCAAATCATTGCAAGATTTCTGCTACTTTTCATCTGAATCTGCTTGAAACAAGCCGCCATAGTGCAATTTTTCTCAATTAAAATAAAAGAAAATTCCCCTTTTCTTTTCATAAATTTTGCATTCGAATATTCAAATTTGGAAAATGATATTCAAATATTCAATGATCAATTGAATATTTAGATATTTGGCACAGCCCTAGTAATAACAACGACCAACATCTCCAAAAGCAAAATCCTCAGCATTTCGTAGCAAACCTTCCGAAATACGTCATAAGACACCATTTTGATTTAAGGTAACTGAGCTTCCCCAACAGAAAATCGTAAGCGTTTTTCAAACCTCACTTGGATTAAACACTGAACAAGTATGGACCACTCTTCCTTCCAAATAAGGTTCAGTGTAACAATATGTGAGGTCCATGCCTTTTTTCTGGGAATTCCCAACAGTGCAGCCCACCTACACGTACATGTATCTTGCGCACTGGGAAGTATTTTACATCACAGGTACATGTACATGTAATCCTGCATCACTTCCTGTAATGTAGCTCGTTGCGAGTTCTTGGTAGAGCAGGTTTCATGCAGTTTTGTGTGAACAGGAGGCCAGGGTTTTGTTATCCAGTTTTGTTTATTTTTAGCCTCATATAAACCTCAATTCATATCCACCACAGTGGATTCAGTTTCCTATTTACAATGAGAATTGATTGTCCAAACTTGTCAGTGCTTTTGCTTGCAACATCTTCACATGGTTAAGGGGGAAAAACTAATAGAGATGAAAATTTAAATGCGCACTCTCTCAAGTTTGGGATTGGCAGTTCATCTTCATTTCAAAATGAACATCAAAGTGTGAAATAAATTTTAAAAGCTACATGTACATGTAAATGTTTCAACCATATTCCCACTCCTAGTGGTACAGTAACTACTTGGCTCTGATCAAAAAACAGACAAAATATCCCAGGGAAATGTCACGGCAGAAGTCCTGAAAACAAAATCCTGTTGGTATGTTTACTCTGGCTTTTGTGCTACAAGTACATGTACTGCACATGTATGATGTTTGTAACAGTGACAGTGTATTTTCATGGCAGAATGTAACTAACAGTGCTATTGCTTTGTCTAACCTCTCGTTTAGCCAAATTTAACATATCAGCAAGACACAAAGGTGAAGATACCGTAAAAACTCCTTTTTTTTCTTACTAAGGAGCAAGAGATGAGAGCTGAAAGCCAACTTAGTCAAGTCTCAAGACCAACTGATGTGATGAGACATCATCGCTGCATAACACCTGTGTAGTTCATGCATTAAACACTCAAATTCAACTTTCAAGAAATAAATTCTTGTGTTTGTACTGGGCAACAGTACATGTACATGCACAGAGTTTCACAGATCGTGAGACTGGACTATTGTTGCCTCTTCGTTAATCCAAATCGACAAAGTTTACAGCAAACAAATCATGCCTGCCTTTTGCAAAGCAAAGACAAGTTGTTCAACGCTGACCAGCTCCATGATAATGACATTTCCCACTTTAGCAAGTGTGTCCAACCTGCTCCAACACCCACAGATCCTAGCGGACTTGATTCAATTTTCACCTATTACATCTAATTCCTTCAAACTGACAACTTAATTAAGTTTAAAAGTATACATCCTGAAGGCAACAAGGTCAACTCAATTGTGAGGGGGAGTTCTCAAATTGTTTCCTTTCCCTGTGGTTCGCCTCAACATATTTTGCCTTGCTGCAATACTAAATAGTATTTTGTGAAGTAAATTGGTATTTCATTAAATACATGTATATTGCACCATATCAGTTGTTGGACAAGTGCTGTTCTACAAACATCAGACCACAGATGAAGAAAAGAAAACATTTACTGGCACACTTAATAACAGAACAGCTGATGTGAAACTGAAATGCTTGTAGTAGATCAATGCCAAAACTTGGTATTTCTGAACCTGGATACATGTATGACACATGTGCGTGCATTTGAAGAGCATTCTGAAACTACCAACTGAATTTTTTGTCAGGATAGTTACCTGTAATCCTATCTTGACAAAAAGGGCCAAACCATAAGCACAATACTGATTTTTAAGTGGTTAAAACAATTAATGTTCCCAGTATGGACTCCAACCACACACTCCACTAAACAAATGGTGTCTTGCAGTTGTACCAAGGGCAAAGTTTTCCTCCCTGACTAATACATGTACATCAAACTTTTCACAATGAAAAATTATTCAAAATGAAACCGAATATTGTATTTTTGTGGGCAATTTTTCAACCTACTGGTGCTGTACATGTACAAACCAAATGAAAGACGGTCATTCCAAAATCATGCCAAATTTTTAGTGTACATATATTCCTAAACTGTACATGTACTTTCAACTGATGAACAATTTTCAAAACTTACTCGGGTGGGACTCGAACCCACGACCTCCTGCTTACTAGTGCAGATGTCTTAACCACTCGACCACTGAGCTTGCCGGGGTCGGCTGGCCGGTCCGAGTCAAGTGAAGCAGTGGGTACCGCAAACTTTTTTCAAGATGTATTTTTTTTTGTATATCCGAACATTGCAAGTTGTTCACATTATCAAGACAATGGTTACTTTTCCCATTTTAAGTCCAGTGTGGACATCCCAGGAAGTTTTCCTCTTGGCAACTTTTACTGCGCCGCAAGATCATTTCTACTGGCCAACCTCTGCCCAGGAAAAATGATCAAGACACTTTTCCTGAGACGGAAAGTCCAGTTCGGACAGCACAAGTCGGTAAAAGCATAGAAAACTGGCAGGTGGAGCGTAAATCCAGCCTGAGCACCCCAGCATGTTTCGTACAGGGAACTATGCATGCGCACTGCACGTTTCATCGCGGTATGGCCTGTGGTCAATATCTTTCCGTAAACCTTTTCCTCTTGGTTGCAATCGTGGCATGTTATTGACACTGTTGGACAATTAACCTGTTCAGAGTGCACCATTTAGAGAGGATGAGGACAGTAATGTTGTGTCTAAGGACGAAAATAAATTCAGGTCACACAAAGCGCCGTCATACATGTAAGTCATTGCATTGCTAGCTCAGTTACTTTTCCCGCAGTCTCAGTAAAATTTTCCTGTGTCAAATGTCCAAGTGCGGATCGGCTCTATAAAACCCACAGAAAAAAGTCCAGTGCGAACAAGGCTGGATCCTCCCTGAATCCTTTGAAATCTGGGACTGTGCACTGTGCAGGACAAAGATTACATGTATTTCCACTTTAGTTTCAGGGGACATCCATCGCCATCTAAAGCACCGACTGTCTGGTTCCATCTTTCCACAAACTTCAAGATTTGAAAGGATGCATGAAATTTAAAACTGAGAAAGTGTGGAGTTTAATTTGACAACTTTGTCTTTGCCTAACATGTTGATCTATTGACAGTTCATACTGAAAAGACTTGGCCATTTCTTGATACTCAATGAATTTACCGAGATCAGGAAATTATGAAACCTGTTGATTCAAATTGCCATCTACATGTACATGTATGCGCTGTTTGGATCAACTAATTTTCCTAGTTTCTACAGCTGGATGCTGCTGAATAGTTTCCTTGGGATAGGCAACAAGCTCTGTTTGAACCGCCTGAAAAAGTCTGGGGAAAAATGAACTCTTGTTCAGTACAAGGAATACATGCAAATATGATGTACATGTAGGTAAAGTCTCTAACCCGAACTCCCAGGAGTGATACCAATTTACATACATACAAGGAACCTTCCCCATCCTTGCAAATCTCCACACAAACAGTGCACATGAACAGTTGGACTCCACTTCTGGTATGCCTAAATCCCACACTAAACACGGTCAGCGTACTGGTACAGTACTCATCCTAACAGATTCCATCAGGCCCTGGTATTGGAGTTTGGCTGCTTGGGGATCATTGGGGTTAAGGTTAGCCAGTACTCTGCATGCACCTATGCATGTACAAACATGCCACATATTCAGCATTTGTCAATTGTTAATTTTTTTCTAAACGACAATACTTACCAGCATTTTCGACATTTGTGATCTGAATGTCAAGGTTGTACTGTGTTGTCTCCTCATAGTCGAGTTCTGCAAGGAGGATCACTTCACCCGTCGTCTCATTCAAGCCAAATGACGCACCGGGATTGTTGACAAAGGCAAACCTGTCTGTATCGTTCACACTGGCAATATTGTAGATAACCGTGTTGACAGTCGTGTTCTCGGGGACAGGGACACGCTGTTCAGGGAGGACGTCCCGTCGTAGCCTCTTACTGGGTTTGTAGTCAGGAGGGAAGAGCATGTCATTGCCATATGGGATCTTTCCCGACGAGGCAGAGTCAACACTTATTTGGAGCGGGACTGGGGCAGACTCCAGAGAAGGGGTTCCATCATCACGTGCCACAACCTGCATGTTGTACTCACCCGCCGGGGGTGGGGATGCAACCGTCAGCTTCCCGGTTTCCTGTCCTAGTTTGAAATACCTGTTGGGCTTCAGGAAGTGGTAGGTTACATGGCCATTTGCACCACGGTCCTCGTCTGCCGCAAACACTGTGCCAGCTACTGTGCCGTTGGGTGCGTTTTCGGCAATGCTGTAGACGAAGGACGGGAAAATGAAGACGGGCGGGTGCAAACCAAGGACCAGGATGTGAACCTCTGTCACGGCAACCTCGTCATTCACGACTGCTTCTAGCGTAAGCTTATAAAACTCCTTTTCTGCCACGTGCAGCTCAGCACTGGCATACACTCTAACGATTGAATCATCTTCTGATACTTCCTGGTGAAATTTCTCACTCCCCGGTCCGAGCAACTCATACTGGACAGGCATGTCTTGGGCGTACACAGGCACGGTCACTCGCAAGTCCGACAGCCCCTGGACCTTCTGCCCCACTGGATTGTTTTCAGTGATGACACCTTCATACCTGCTGTCGGCAAAATGCAGCTTGGAGTCCTTGCCCGAGTTGATGACTCTCACGATGATCCGCTCGTTCCAAGAACGGCCACCTTTGCGGTGTGTGACATGGACAGTCAAGCTGGTCCCCAGTAAGTCTACCAGGGGTCTTGTGGTGAGCAGCCTACCATCATCTGTGATGCTTAAGTATGAGCTGGGGGGATCCAACTCGGAGCTCTGTCCCTCATTATGAAACTCAGTGAGAACTGTCCCTGGCCTGGCATCAAAGTGCACATTAATGCGTGGCAAGGCAAAACCAGAAACTAATGTTACGGCAAAGAGAACAATCAAAATGAAGAGCAGGGTGGCAAACAATCGGACTGCTGCCGCCATGGTTACATGTGATTAAATCCTGCACTGTGCAAGAGGTTCCCTTTTATGTGTCCTGCACCTGATGTGAAAAAAACAACCTGAAACAAAAAAGATAAACTTCATGAATTTTTCTTCATTAAACAAGAGCCACCTAAAACACATTTACATGTCATATGCAAAGACAATGCTTATTTCGTATTTTTTAAAATAAAGAATTCCATACATACAGACTAGAGGCCACGTCATGCCCTGTGCACAAACCCTACGCAATTGGTCTATAAAATTGAAGTGCTTATTTAAGAGAATTTCTCCATAATTTCATTGCTAAATTTGACTTTTTGGGCATTTCATTACCTTCAGTAATAATGTGTCACTGCAGGGAAAACCAGTGGCATCCATAGTACCTGGAATTCTTTCTTCTGGAAAGAGTTTCATATATTGTACGGACGCCACTTGATACCCTTGTGCACAAATCCTTATAGAACCCCTGCATACGACATCATGTTAGAGTGAATTTCTTTCTTCCTCTCGGACAGGCTCGAGTAAACCTTTTGCACATTCATTGTCATTAAACCTAAACAACAAAACATATCCTCTGTTTCAATAAAATTTGTATTAAAAGTAACCAGTTATCGGGCAAGTCGTGAGGGTCACACCTGTTGAAGGAGGGGGAAGGGACACAGACGGGATTATTGCCAACATGCAGAAAAGTGATGTCAGCCCAATTTTCCTTGTTTCTCTAAATCACATTAAAACCAGAGTGACGTCTTCCCACTTTTTAACAACTGATCATGGCTGACATGATTGAAGCTAAAGAAGAAATCGTGGCACCAGGACTGTCGAGGACCTGGTCAAACAAACTTCTGAATTCTTCCAGGAAATCGGACATCAGCACATCGACCAAAGGGACATGACCAGATGACGGAATTCGGCAACGCTCAAAAAAATCGAGCGCTACGATAAATATTTCAATTGCCAGAAACTTATCATGCTTGTGTTGTAAGAATTCATTTTAACAAATAAAATCACGTCATGGAATTGATAGTAGAAATGACTACCGAGGCGTTTTACAGTTCACAACAATCAGGAAAAATACTGCACAACTACATTTTGAAAACCTGTTTTTCGAAACCACATAGACATGGTAGGCCTATGACAAGCATGGCAAATTGGCAATCAGCAATGGCAACTTCAGCAACAAGCCTTCAGATTTCAAGGAAAACACGGTCTTAAGCTAAAATCACTGATGTGCTTACCAGCTGCAACCCTTCTCGCAGTATCCAAAATACCGGTTCGTAAGAATATGCTGGTGATGTAGCCTGTCCTGTTGAGGATCTTCGTTTCCAATAATTGCTAAAATGTCCAAATAACTGGAAGTTCAATATCGCAACAACAACCGCACTGACACATCGTCGAAGAACTAGACTATGATGACTGTTGCATGAAAAATGGCAACGGTTGGCTTGGTCAGAATCGTCCCCGCCGGAAGCGAAGCGATACGAATTTAGAAACGAGGGAGGTATCTCGCATACCAGAACGGCTTTTGCGGCAAGGTGTGTGCTTTTTAAGCTGTCGATTATCAAAGCGAAGCCATGACGTCATTATTTGCATAATAGAGGACAAGTTGTCCAAAATTTCTAAGGGGCGGAGTAAAGAATAATTTGTCCCAAATAAGGGTAATTATTTGAATACGATCAAAGCAAAGTCTACACTTACAAACTAATGAATCATTGTTCACCTTTGTGGTAAAAACCGTGCGTACATGTACCGTACTTTGGCGAACAGAACACATGGGCTATTATTAGTTATCACACGAGTGCGAGTGGTACACAGAATTTCAAAATTAGTGATCAACGAGCGCGAGCGTGATAACGAATTTATCTTCAAGCAAACTTTACGCGCAGTATAGTAAAGGTGTCTATGCGCGCTTTCCATTAAAAAGAAGACAAAAGCGGCCAAAAGCAAAAACAGTAACACAGATGTACCACAATTCTATAGATCACTGGGGTAATTTTTTCTTTTGTGATTGCTAATCTTCCAGTTCTGGTAACATGTACCACAATTCTGCATTTTTTTTCTTGGGAGCCTGGGAATCACATGTATTTGTGTTGTGACCTATTTCAATAACAACAACACTTGCACTAAGAAAGGACATTATAAGAATTGTACGTGCATTTAAACACGTGACGATCAGCACGAGCAAACATGCCAGTCATGCAGATATGTGAGCTTGCTTTTAGCATGTTTAGCGTAGAAATAACGTAATGCGTTGAACATTGAACAGCGCATCATTACGCAGCGTTTGACACATGTACATGTACTTTGGCGAAATCGCCAGTATGATTTAAGTGCATCCTAAATTCTATCTGACTAAGCATATAAATTGCTATTGAGGCTCTGTGAATTACTTTATTCAGTCGAGAACTTATAGATCACTAGGGTAATTGTTTCGGCTCTGAGTGTCTTCCAGTTCTGGTTCTGCAGTGTGTGCATTTACTTCAGTACAGGAATAGTATCATGATTGTAGCATGCAGCATGGTTATTTTTTTTACTGAGGGCGCTGTGCGTGTGGAAGGACATGAAATTTTTATTCTCGCTCTGGGCTAAGAAAATCGCTTAAAATATGGCCTTTTGAATCGCCATCAATGCTTTTATCCTATAAATAAAGGACTTTTAACCCACGTTTGTTCGATTTGTGACATTCTTTTTGGATTTTTGTGTTCATTTGGATGGATTTTAATCATCTTTTTTTATCCTGACCTCGACGTGAAGTGATCAGCCTGAGTGCGGTAGTGCAATGATGTGCAACGCTGACGCCGTAAGCCAGGCCGCTTTTGTCTTGGATCTTTTACAGCATCAAGTCATCCACATTTTAATCTTTCGTTTAATTCTATCTGAATTTATAATTTCCGTAGATATTATTTTTACTTTAGATGTGTTTTTAACCCAACTTTGAGCAATTTAACACCCGGTCTTCAAAGCGCAACTTAAGATTCATCTCGGTTTGGAAATTTCGCGGGGTTCTCCTGACTTTTGATCTGCGGGCTGCCATTTTGCGGGCCGCCATCTTAGAATTTTTTTTTCTTTGTGCTGGATAAGGATCCTAAGGGTGCAGACCACTAATTCAAGTGAGAATTTCTGACCAGCTCATTAGCATTAAAAGTGCCCCTCCCCACAGTATCTTTTGAAAAAGGAGATTGTTTGGCCCCCAAAATGGTGAGATTGTGTAAATCGTCGCCAGGATCAACTCCCTGGGTCTTTGAGCTTTCGTATGAGGGCAGAAGGGCTGAAAACTACGGTTGAAAAA